GGACGTTGGTTTGGTGAACGGCTCCAAATTTTCTTTAATGGAGAGTATCCAGACTGATTAGTGAGTGAAATCTTGAAAGCTTGCGAGATCAGGATGGTCTCACGAGGCTAAGTTAGTTTTGACGTGGAGCCGATTGGAGGATCTTTGAAAAGGTTGAAGATGAGTGAAATGATACAAAAACCAGTGAAATGTTAAAAGCTGCTCAGTAATTATATGAAAGATTTAATCGCTGTAAGACCAATGACTAATTGCTAATGGAGAAGGGTATCTAATTTATAAATCCTATTTAATGAAATTAAATAAAACAGTTTTTTTAGAATATTTTCTTATTTTGTATATAAAAACAAGTTTCTTTGTTGAATGAAAATGAGTATGAATCATTGTGTGTTAAACTGAAAGCTTTTATCTAACCCAGAGGTGGGAATCCTCACTGCTCCTCCCACTGTGCGTTTTAGGTGTCTTTATAACCAATGCTGGTTCAGATACTCAATCATCCCTATGAAATACACTGGACTTTGTTGCCTTAAGAAAATATGTTGAGAATTGATAGGGATGTTATCCTTTTCTGAATCGCAGAATAAATTTAAAATATTTTGGATCCATTTTATAATCATAGTTGCATTTACAAACTCCTCATGTTTTCTTGCAGTATGGGCGCTAATATCCCTCCGCTGGCTAAGAAACAGGATTCATGCCAGGTAATGTGCAGATTATATTTTCTTTCCAAAAGTTTTTGTGTGACTTATGAGAAAGACCCCCCCCAAAGGTCCGGGTCAATTTGCATGTTCTCTAAGCCAAAACAAGGCTTCGTTTTTGGTCCACTCTATAAGCCTCGAACTTAATGCTATTCCTGACATTTTGAATTGAAACGTTTTCAAACTTGGAAACAATGTGTAGCGGATTGTTTTTGTTTTTTTTTTACTTTTTGGGAATTTTTTTAAAAACAACAGTTATGAGTGACGGGTCTTTGTGTGATGTTTAGGGTGGCTGTCCATGCGGTCCTTCTCCTTCAGCAGCGTCGCCTCCTGAGCCGGAGTCTCCAGTGGACCCTGAGAGCGAGGAGAGTGAAATAGGTACTGAGGAGATGAAATAATTGTCTGATCACAGCTTATGGGTTGATTTTATGTCTAGTGATTTGGTCATGTGTGTTTTTTGGTGAAAGATCCAGTTAGACCAAATTTAAGTCCAGACAGAACCCTCAAACCTAGTATTTATGATGCCACAGTTTTTTTTTTGTTTTTTTTGGGTCTTTGGAAAAGAAACGGCTCACAGTATCAGTTTATGCACAGCAGGCATGAGGGGATTTTCTACACCTTTATCATCTGATTGTCAACAAACACACCTGAGAAACTCCGTCATAGTTTCATCGAAGTGACGGTTTGGGCTCCAATGGTTATTTTTAATGTCACTCTTAAAAGACTGGTCAGCTTGGTGAACTGACATCGACGTTTTGTCTAACTAGACATGGTAGCAACATAAACATGCGTTCTCCAGGAAATTAACATCAGTGTCATCCTTAAAGGGCAGTTTTAGCCAATTCTTTAGAGCTAATATTGGTTTGAAAATGACGAACCAAGTTCTTCTCTTTGTTTGTCGTTTAATCAGCTTCAAAACACAAAGGTCTCTGCGCCTTAACGTAGGACCAGGATGTTGGTTTCTTTATTGTATTTTTTCATGAAAGGAGTCATTTTACCTGAAAAATCCCTCGGAAATTGTCTCTGTTTTAATAATTTTAGTAGAAAAAACAAGTAGATACAGTCCATTCTGACATCAGAATTTGTCTTGTTAATCTTCTGTTCGTGGATTTAGCATTAGCAGCTTTAGCAGTTTGCCTTGGTTCGTTTGTTTTCCCGTCTGCTACACAGTAGCTGTGTTTCCATTCAACTGAGAATAATATTTTAAACAAACTTTAAAAGTTCTTAAA